TTAGTAATGAAATAATCCTTGGGAAGAGAAGGAATATGCTGCTTGCATAGATACAACTAATTTCTCACATTCTATTATTTATTTTTATTTCTGTGGATGACTGTCTTCTGTGAACTTTTATCCTCTTCAGACCGGGGATTCTGTTTACCTCTTCCTGTAGATTTTATTGTATATGCATTTTATTATATAATTATCTTTTCATTATATATAGGTTAACGTGTAAAAAGTATGACTCATTTTAGTTGAGTTATATACTTGTGAAAATTAAAATAGCAAATACAAATGATTATTACTACTGCACATGTATTCTCCTACTCTACAGCAGTTTTCTTTAAAAATATTGAACTCCCAAGCTGCATTTATCCGTTCTTTCAATCCATTTAGTCATCAGACATAAGCCAGACACCTATTATGTGGCAGACGTATTCTACTATCTCTCAGGATCCTTCCATCTTTGAAAACTTCATGTTTACCTGCTGGGCATGAGCAAGCTGAGAGATTTAAAGTTGGAGCATTAGGACTTAATCTCAATTGAAGCTTTTCCTCCCTCCTTTCAAACAAAAGCATTTCTGAAGGTAGAAAATAGTAAAAGATAACCTTTAATTGCCTTTTTGAACATTTATAAGTCTTGGATAAAGACTGTTTTAGTTGTTTTAAGAACTAAAATGTGGTAGATAACCAGCAGGGAATACTATGCAGCCATAAAAGAAAGAACGAGAGCATGTCCTTTGCAGGGACATGATGGTGTTGAAAGCCATTATCCTCAGCAAACTAACATAGGAAGAGAAAAGCAAATACTGCGTGTTCTCACTTATAGGTGGGAGCTAAATGATAACACACAGATACCTAGAGGGAAGGAACACGCACTGGGGCCTGTCGGAGGTGGAGGGTGGGAGGAGGGAAAGAAGCAGGAAATAGAATGAACGGGTACTGGCTTAACGCCTGGGTAATGAAATCATCTGTCCAACCAACCCCCTTGGCGCACGTTTACCTGTGTAACAAACCGGCACATCTGCACCTGTACCCCTGAATGTAAACGTTGAAAAAAGCTCCGCAAATAGTTTCATAAATCCATTTTAAAAAGAGAAAATTTATAACAGTCTTAAATCCTAATAGGAAAGATTGGAAATATCTGATGTATATACATTGTATAAATCTAAGTATTGAAAAAAATGAGCCCATGGTATTTATTTGAATTTCCAGATATTCTTTGGCTTAAAGTTTTTTGAAAACCAAAGTAAGAATTAGTTTATTTTAGATATTTGTTTTTGTTTTCACCTCAGCCCTCTTATTCCATAGTTTTTTTAAGAACTGAAATTTATTTAAATGCTGGTCATCTGACTGGAACCGCCCCAGACCTGTTATAACATATTCTACATATAACATACCAGGGGTTGTATGATGCCCCATTATTTTATGTCTCAATAAGAGAATTATTTAAATGCCGCCAATTATAGTAAATCATGAATTATAAGTGATATTTCAGTGGAGACAACATGGAGACAATGATCATCTTAGAATCACTGAAATACGACGTTACGTGTAGTCTTTAAAACGTACCTGAAAGTGTAGATATAATTGTATCATCTCACTTAATTCAAAAGTCTTTAGGGTATTAATAAAAATTATAATATCTAACAATTATTGAGCTGTTTTTTGTGTTAGGAACTATTCTATACCTTTTGCGTAGAGTCTCATTTAAGCATTACAGTGGTTTCCTGTGAGAAAGCTACTATTTTCATTCCCATTTTATTGATGAGGAAACTGAGACACCAAAAGGCTAAGCAACAGCTGGGAAGTGACAGAGCTTCAAGTAGGGTTCCAACCCAAGCTGAAAGTCATCCAAGGGCTGTGCTGTTTCTATTCAAATAGGCTGCTCTTTCATTAATAGAGCGAGTAATGAGAGGTAATAAACAGTGTGCTTTCTTCATGGGAAAATTAAATGTTTGTTTTGAAGGCAGAGTAATAGCAGGCTATTCAGTGTTTGCAATTACACGAATCATTGATGTGCCTGTAGCTAGTGCACTAACAATTTCCTAAGAAGTCTTCTCACTCTCCTAGGACTGCTCTACATCTGGCCTCTGCCAATGGGAATTCAGAAGTAGTAAAACTCCTGCTGGACAGACAATGTCAACTTAATGTCCTTGACAACAAAAACAGGACAGCTCTGACAAAGGTAGGCAGTAGCCGACTATATCAGTGTGAGATGGGTTTGATTTCAATACATAGCATAAAAATGAGTTTTCTCCTTTAAATGTAACTAGTTGGTGAAAGCTGTGGAATGTTACTTTGAATTCCTAGCATTTATAATTTGTTTTTGGTCTAACACTGACAGGCCGTACAATGCCAAGAAGATGAATGTGCATTAATGTTGCTAGAACATGGCACTGATCCAAATATTCCAGATGAGTATGGAAATACCTCTCTACACTATGCTATCTACAATGAAGATAAATTAATGGCCAAAGCGGTGCTTTTACATGGTGCTGCTATTGAATCAAAAAACAAGATATAGATCTACCAGTTTTCTTTTCAAAATACTGAAATGCATTCATTTTAACAGTAACCTGTGTAAGGGCCAGTTTTCCATGTTTGGAAGCTCAAGCATAACCTGAATGAAAATATTTTGAAATGA